AGAAGAGTTCCAAACCACATATGTAAATTGGGACTCAACAGCATTAAGATGTTATTCAAAGGCCAATAAGTTGAGCTATTGTTGTTACTATACTAGACAGCTACACAATTTTACCTATTTTTGTTGTTGTTTTATTTTTCATTTATTCAATACAGCAACCCTAATGGATAGATCCTATCATTTCCCCATTGTTCTGAGGTTTGAGCTCATCAGGTTTAACAAAGATGTATAGCTAATAAGTGGCAGAGGCAAGATTCCGATTTGAGTCTGTCGGTTACTGAAGTAACCAGTGTTGTTGTTGTTAAATGCCATCGAGTCAGTTCCTACCTATAGCGACCTATAGTTCCTGAGGAGCAGCTGGTGAACTTGAACTGCTGACTTTTTGGTTCAAGCCGACTTTGCAGTCCAGCACATTAACCTACAGCACTATAAAACATGTTCATCATTTTTAAGGTATACATAACTTGTTATGTGTGTGCACTGAGTATTTAGGTGTGTGCCGGGGTTGTATCCTTTCACATACTTATTCAATCTGTATGCTGAACAAACTAGCTGAGAAACTGGATTAAATGAAGAAGAATGTGGCATTAGGATTACAGGAAGATATAATAACAACCTGCGATATGCAGATGACACAACCTTGCTTGCTTGAAGCAAAGAGGACTTAAAATACTTATTGTTGAATACTAAAGATTACAGTCTTCAGTATGGGCTGTACCTTAATGTAAAGAAAACAAAAATCCTCACAGCTGGACCAAAAAAAAAAAAAAATCATGATAAGCAGAGAAAAGGTTGAAGCTGTCAAAAACTTCATTTTGTTTGGATACACAATCAACATTCATGGAAGCAGCAGTCAAGAAATCAGATGACGTATTGCATTAGGCAAATCTGCTTTAAAAGACATTTTTAAAGTGTTAAAGATCAAAGATGTCACTTTGAAGACTAAGGTACAGCTGACCCCAAGTCATGGTATGTCCAATTGGCACATAAGAATGTGAAAGTTGAACAATGAATAAGGAAGATCAGAGAATTTCTGCACATGAATTATGGTATTGTTTAAGAATATAGAAAGTTTCATAGACCGAGGCAAACAAACAAAACTGTGTTGGAAGAAGTACAGCCAGAATGCTCCTTAGAGACCAGGATAGCTAGACAATGTCTTTCATAGTTTAGACAGTGATATCAGGAGAAGCCAGTCCCTAGAGAAGGACATCATGCTTGGTAAAGTGGATGGTCAGCAGTAGAGGAAGACCTTCAAACAAGATGGACTGACACAGTGGCAGCAATGACAGATTCAAATATATCAACTGTGAGAATAATGCTGAACTAGGCATTGTTTTGTTCCATTGTGCATGAGGCTTCTATGAATTGGAACGAGCTCAACGGCACCTAAAACAACAACAGTTTGTTGTGTTATACTATCATGGTTTACTGATGGACATTTGGGTTATAGCTCGTTTCTGGTTCTTAAAAGTAGTGTTACTAAAAACAGTTTTGTTCTTTTTTGAATTATTTCCTTAGAATAAATCCCAGGGGCTGAGGGGGTGTCTGCTAATGTTATGTACTGGTATTTGGCCAGTTTTAACATTGCTAAAGAACTTTAGATTCCAGGGTAATTCCTTAGACTGCTTCTGAAATTCACATGAAATTCATACCAATTCACATAAATTCACATAAAAAGAAGTTTCCACTAAAACCACTATCATGAATCGGGATGTGGAGAGCTCCAGCTCACAACTGTGATCTATATAACCTGTGGTCTTAGCCAGACAATGCTTGGTACATAGTAGGTTTGCAACAAATGTCATCTGGCTGGCTCAATGGACACACCAGAGGGTTACTAGGCCATGACAGAAAGTCATGCTGCATCAGCTACAACTGCATATACCAGTGCTTTTATTTATTCATTTACTTAACACTACTTTTTAAAATAGTGGAGTCCTAGTACAGCGCCTAGTACGGTGTGTAGTAAGCACTAGACAGTTAGCAGTTCAAACCCACAAGGTCCTTGGAAACCCCATACAGGGTCGCCATGAGTCAGAACAGACTTAGTAACAACATTTTTCTTTTAGCTTTCACTAGGGTAGAGGTTTTCTTGGTTTTTAAAGTTTTTATTGTGAGTTGAGTGAAAGTTTACAGGGCAGATCATCAGGATCATCAGTTTTACATTCAACAAATCCCACACCTTGTTTCATTACAATAATTATAATCATCAACAGTGTTTCTCCCTATTTACTTTACCTTTTGTTTTTTTTAAACACTCAGGAACATATAATAATTTACACCACCAAAGGGCACATTCTGCAAGTCTGCCTCATGGCCGCCAGCTCTTAGAGGGCTCTTCCCATGAATCTAGAGTCCTCACCTGCTCCCTCTCTCCATGACCCCATCTCTGCCTCCATCTCTGGTGTCACTTCTTCCCTGAATAAGGTCCTGCATTCTGCTTGTGCTCTTCTCCCTTGATGGTCCTAGGGGCCTCTGTTTCTGGAATGTAAGATTAACTACTCCCCCGTTTTTGTTACAAAACTTCTATCTGTACAATTGTGAAAGTCTCAATTAGTGATGTTAACAAATACACACTATTGAATCAAAAGAATCCTATCTCCATCTCCTTTCACAAGACCCGTCAAGCCAAGATGAAAACTATTCAGTGGGGATTGATATTCCCCCACACACTCTTAAACTAAACTCCCTCTTGAATACGTATAAGCCAGTCACTTCATGCCTTTATAACCCCCACATTTTAGGTAGCCAATGTCTAAGTTGCCCATCCCTATCTACTCTGTATACAGAGGGGATAGCATTGATACTTAATGTGAAGACTCCGTCCCTCTGTCTTGGTATTTAGAATTACTACCTCCATGAGTATAGGTCAAGTTCTTCATCAAATTGTAGCAATTTACCCTCATTTTCTTTATCAAAAATTGTTTGTTTGTTTGTTTTTATCTTCCTCTAGTTGAGTTAATAACAACAACATTTATAAAATAAAAAATAACTTCAAGGGATAGAAAGAGTTTCAAATGATATCGGCAATGGTATTAGAGCTCTGAATATCTTCAATGGACGAATGTAAAATTGGACTCAGAGGTGGGCCACTTGGATAGTTGTTCAGGAAGCCAATTAAAAGGGACACTAAAACTGCCCAGAAATAGTATCTAAAATGCCATGCCAGTTGACCTATGTTCCAGTCTAACAGAGAATCCTGGTGTGGCGCTGTGGGTTAATACGCTGGACTAAAAGATCAGTTTGAACTGCAGGATCAGTGGTTCAAACTCACCAGCCAAACCTTAGAAATCCTGTAAGGGGTCACTACAAGTCAACAACAAAAACAATCTAACAGAGAAGTCAAAGCTATTTAGCAGAACACACACATACGTTTTCTGTGGTCTCATAGTCACCACCAAACTCCTGAACAAATAATGATTATGAGTTTAAAGGGGTAACTGCCACTCAGGGAAGGAAACTAACAGGAATTCAAATTCTGAATTGCCTGATTGTGGTGCTGAAGGATAATACACTGGAGACAAAGTCAGTTTGAACCTCAAGGTCAGTGGCTCAAATCTACCAGCTGCTCCTCAGAAACCCTATGCAGGGTCACTATGAGTCCCAAGTAACTCGATGACACTTTAACAACAACATATGTGAAAAGAACACAGAACAAAGAAGAAGAGTACAGTGTAAAAGACAAAGGCTAGGTGTGACCTGGAAAAGGAGCCCTGGTTAAGCGCTCACCTGCTAACTGAATGGTGAGCCATTGGAACCCACCAGCAGCTCTGCAGAAGAAAGGTGTGGCTGTCTGCTTCATGGCCTGGAAATGCTATGGAGCAGTTCTACTCTGTCACATGGGGTCACTATGAGTCGCAATGGACAGGATGACAATGGTCATGACAGGAGAAAGCAACCTCAGTTGTACACCTGGAGTCCTTGTTTAAGTTTCAGCGGCTCCTTAAGGCAACTGTTTTTGAAAACTAAAAATTGTACGAATGTCTGGGGAGAGGATCTAATCATCAGATTCTCACAGATGTTAGTGATCCTTCCCCAAGTTTAGAAATCACAGTCCCTGGCAGCAAAAATCGGGTCAGAGGCATGCAGAAATTTCAGGAGAACGGAAGTACCTGGCCTAGAAGGAGCATGGGGCCCACAAGACACAGCAAACCTGTTACTGCTACCTACCAATTAATTTCATAGAGTTCCCATAGGGCAGAGTAGGACTGCTCCATGGGGTTTCCAAAGCTGGTGTGGTGCTGTAGGATAAGCAATGGACTGCTAACTGCAAGGTCGGTGGTTCAAACCCATCAGCCGCTCCTCGGATACACTATATGGGGTCGCTATGATTCCAATCCGACCGCACAACAGTGAACAACAATAACAGTATTTACTGACGCGAGAAGGATGAGGCTTTCTGCCCCCGGAAAGATTTACAGGCTCTGAAACCCTTTACAAGTTTGGTATGATTCGGAACCGACTCCAACAATATTTACAGAAGGATCACTGGTGGCGCAATAGTTAAGTGCTTACCTCCTAACCAAACGCACCAGCCTCTCCGCTGAAAAAGTCTGCTTCCACATAGATTTACAGCCTTGGAAGCCCTAGGGCACAATAGTACTCTGACCTATAGGGTTGTTCAAAGTGTCCTGCTGGGTGGAGACTGCATCTTTCTCTCGCTGAGCAGTTGGTGGGTGTGAGCTGCTGACCGTTCCGTGAAGATTACTTAACCACTGGGTAACCAGAGTCCTGGTGTGGCGCTGTGGCTTAAAGCGCCAGACTGCAAAGCGTTTGAACTGCAAGGTTGGCGGTTCAAGCTCACCAGCTGCTCCTCGGAAACCCTATATAGGGTCGCTATAGGTCGGAACCGACTCTATGGCACTTAAAAACAACAACCAGGGCCCCCGTGGTGAGCCCACTGGGTAACCAGGGCTCCTTAAAAGTCACAGCAAATAAGGTGACACTGGAGGCAGGAGAGAGGCGGAGCCACCCGGGCGGCAAGGGCCGCATCCTACCTGCGTCCCGGTGTCTGGACCTTACGACGTGACCAAAGCTGGCCCCTTGACCCCGCAAAGCCCGCGCAGACACCTCGCGGAGGGGAAGCCTGGGGAGAGCCCAGAGGAGGTGCGCCATGACGCTGCCGTTGCGCAGCCGGCTAGAGCCCCACCACGCAGAGGCCCCGCCCCCCGCCGTCTCCTGCCTCTAGGCTCCTATCACCTCCCTGACTATTCCTGCTCCTCCCGTCCTACGTCACTCCACCTCAGCTTCACCCCGCCCTCTTCTGCCTTAGCTTCGCTGGTCCCTTGGCCTGTCTCCTCAGCGGGACCATTTGCTATCCCCAGGTCAACCACTACTCTGTATTTCGTCACCATGAGGGGACTTCAAAATTTTTGTGGAAAATAAAATGAAAAGATCGTGGAATTTTCTCACGAACATTTTGAAGCCCCTTGTAGAATTTGGAAGTATCCCTGGTGGCGTAACGTTGGATTGCTAACCCCAAAGTCAGCAATTCGAATCCACCATCCGTTTGGCGGGAGAAAGAGGACGCTTTCTGCTCCTTAAAGGTTTGTTGTTTGTTGTTAAATGCCATAGAGTAGGTTCTGACTCATATTGACCCTGTATAAGGTCTCGAAGGAGCTGTGAGTGGGTTTGAACCGCTGACCTTGTGGTTTGCTGTCTAGGGCTTATCCTACAGAGCCACAACAGGAGTTCCCATAAAGGTTTACCGCTTTGGAAACCCAGTTTAGGATCGTAATCGACTGCATAGCAGTGGGTTTAGTTTGATTTTTGTATTTGTTGTTGTTTTGTATAGATTGGTGGTTATAGATTAGTTTGCATCTAAAGTTGGTAGAGAAATCACACCTTAAACTCAGCATCATTTTCTAGCACCCCCCCCCCCAACCCTCGTTAACTCCACCCAAACCCACAAGCGGGCTTCCTCCCCCAGAAGCAAAAATATCTCTCAATATGTCTTCATCCGTGAGCACAGTGGGCTCTGTACCTCCTCAGAATACCCCTGCAGGCTTTTAATCCTAAATAAAAGTCTTAGTCGCTGGCCATTGAGTCTCTATCTCCTTTTCTTTTAAATTTACCTAACTCAAGTAGTCATCCCAGGGTGGTCTTAAGCCGAGATCTATACTGGCCTGCTTGTTCCATCCTCCCTTCCCTATTCTAAAACTCCTTCTACAACAAAAACGAACATCCTGGGACCCAGCTGGTACTCATTGGAGACAGATTCCAGCCCCCTCCCCTCCTCCTCTCTTCTTTAATCCGACTCAGTTCGACCGGTTTTCAAGCACCACCGCTTCTCCACATTCTGTATCCCGGTGAGAAGCAAAAGGAAGTAACCTCCGGAGCCCTCTCCCCGACTGCTCAGATGTGAGGATTCCCCTCTAGCCGCCCCTGGGGGGGGGGGGGCAGACTAATCATCTGGGATGTCCCATGGGTTAGCTCTGGACCTTCCAAAAGACAGACCAACGTCCCCTAAACCCTGCTTCTTTTGTTTCTCGTCTTGGGGTCCCAGCCATCCAACCACCTTGCCTCCATTCCCATCTCACCCAACTCAGACTCCGTGACACAATACGGCCCAAACGCCTCTTTTGCAATGTCGCTTGGCCCCCAATACGAATTAGATAACGACTCCCATTGACCCGAAAATGGCACATTTAAACTTCTGATCCTCCGGGATCTTGAAAATCTACAAGGGAATGGCAAGTGGTCGAAGTCCCTTAAATCCAAAGATTTGGCTCTAACTATCCCGAAAGTCTCTCAGCCAATCCTGTTCCCCCTATCAAAACCTCCTTCTCAACAATCTCCCCAAAATAGTCCCTCTTCCCTCCGCACCGGACATTGACCTAGCAGACGAAACACCCCCTCTCTACCTGCCCGCCGACCCCCACATTGCCCTCCAGACTCTCCCTTACCCTCCCATCCCCAGACTAGCTCCAGGAGCACTCTCCCGCCTAGTCCAGATTTCACTGACTCCCTCTCCACCCTCACCCCACTCCAACCCATTCTGCTACTTAGAGAAGTCTCGGGGCTGGAAGGAATCCTCAGCGTCCATGATCCTGTCTCCGTAGCGGGCCTGTCACAGATTGAAAAGCCACTAGGACATTTCTCCGAGGAAATTCTTTAGAAAAGAATTTCTTTATGTCACACAAACCTATAACCTTACTTGTCATGACATTTTTGTCATCCTGTCCACCTGCCTGGGTCCAAACGACTGGGAGCGTTTCTGGAGGGCAGCAGAAACAAACACCTGCAGACGGTCTCTATCAACATCCCAACATCCACGAGGTCGCCGTCACTGCAGTCCCCAGAAACCCACAGTGGTCTTACCAATTAGATTCCCCCGGCCGCCCCAAGTTAGCACCCTTTGTCTCCAGGAATAAATCGGTTTGCACAGAAAGCAGTTAATTATGGGGGGGGGGGGGGAATTAAAGAACTTACCTAACTCCCTAATGAAAACCCAGCACTTTTCCTCTCCAGACTAGTCGAGGCCACAGAAAAATGTATCACCAACAACCCTGAGTCCCAAGAAAGACAATTCTACATAAATCTCCATTTCATTTCCCAATCAGCCCCCTATATCCGAAAAAATGTTTTAAAATTAGATGAAAGACCCCGGGCATCCCCAAAAGACCTACTAAATGCCACCTTCAAAATCTTCAATAACAGGGAAGAACGACAAAACGCCCAAAAAACACAAGAGACATCGGTCTAAATGCCAGTTACTAGCAAAGGCCTTCCGGAGCTCCCATCAGAATGGTCTGTCTAAAAATCCCCGGCAGGCCTCCAGGAGCCTGCTTTAAATGTGGGAAGCTAGGACATTGCTCTCTATCTTACCCTAACTCCCGCCCTCCAGGCCTTGTCCACTCTGCAATGAAAAGGGTCACTGGAAGGCAGATTAACCCTTGGCGGGACCATGTTGCCAGCGTGAGTTCATCTGTTCCTGCCCTTTCGCAGAATCACCTAGCCGATTTCCTTGGAGTCACAGGAAAGGAGGACTGAAAGGGCCCTAGACTCATTGCCTCACAACACAACCACCATCAGAGCCCATGGTAACACTTAAAGTCTCTGGTAAGCTTCTCTCCTTTTTACTAGACATGGGGACAACCTATTCAGTCCTTCCAGAATATCTCGGATCCCTACATCCTCCCTCCCTGTCTATTGTCTGCGTTGACTGCTGACCCTCCTCTCCACTTCAAACTGACCCACTATTTTGTGCTCTTTTGGAAATCCCTTTCTCCCACTCCTTACTAATTATTCCTTCATACCCCACCCCCATCTTAAGATGAGAAGTCCTATCAAAATTCAAAGACTCTATACACTTCCCCACCGCAGAATCACAGATATCCTTTGTTCTCCTGTACCAGCCAGACACCTTTGGAGACTCTCCTAACACCTCCTGCCTTTTACCTGAAGTAAGCCCTATAGTATGGGACACCTCTCAACCAGTAGTAGTGGTCCACCATGTAGGCACTAAAATATCACTTCAGAAGCCCTCTACCCAGGAAACACAGTATGGCTAGCCATCACTTCCCACTCCTCTCCCCTTAAACCAAAATGACCCAGTCCATGTATTGTAATCCCAACTACCCCAGACTGTGGCCAAACTGAAAACCTTCCCATATTAGATCCAGTTTTCCTGCCTCAAAAAGAACCTTCTGCCCCTAAATTCAATACCTCCTCATATTCTTCTACCCTTTCATGTCCCACCTCCCTCCCACTGACCAGAATACCCAAAGGGCCTACCCTCTCTGCATGACACTCACACGGCAACCTAACTACTCAAAATGTCCACCATTTCCTAAACACCCTCCATTCCAGCCAACTCTATTATCCACCAAGCTCCTCACAGTTCCTACTTTATTCAATTCATAATTGCTTCCACAATTATGGCTTCAAGGGCTCCTTCTTCCCCACTCAAATCCTGTTCTCATTCTGTTCCTTATTCCGTCTACTCCCCTATACTTAACCTTCCCTTCTCTTTCCACTAACTCTCTTCCTGCACATCTAACCTCCTCAATCAATCGTATATCCATCATGCTTTCCCAATCTCAAGCCATCACCCTTTACTCCACTTATTGGATATGCATCCATGCCTCAGCATCAGCATACAATGTGGCCCCTTTCTTAGAACCACCCTCTGAACCAAATCTCTAAGATCCAGCACCTAAAACTCTCAAATACTACTTCCCTTGGGCTGATAGGAACTATCAAAAATCTAATAAGTCAAACCCCTCTCTGTTTCTCTTGTCAGCCTTTCCCCACAGCCATCCCTGTAGGACATGTAAGAAATAATACATGGTCCATCTTCAGGAATAAGGGGGTCCAGGGAGTTGCTAATTGAGATTGTTGGCTGATATAGCAGCAGGAGCTCATTCACCTGGGGTATGTGTAAACAGAACCGATTAGGTGAGGGGGAAGGGAACCTGTTCAAGAAGTAGAAATTCAAAAATAAGACTGCAACCATCCAAGGGAAATAGGTGAGATTGGGGAAAATTGTTCACTCCTAGTACTCAGTCAATGAGGAACGGTGGGGGGAGGAACTTTTGAGTTAGGAGAGAAAGATGCTGGTAAAATGGCCTAAGTGCATCTGCTCTTCTTGTCTTCTGGGCTTGGTGCCCGATTTTGCAAAATCGAAAAATAATAAAGCCTTACTCTTGCTAAAATGTGTACAGATTGGATTTCTTGAGCATTTGTCTGGTAAGCATTGTCTGGTAAGTCATTGGTGACCTCATAGGGGATAAGGCGGTCTGCTCAGTTCTCTCTACGGAGACCCATGGGATAAGGTCCTAGTCAGGGTCTGTACAAACCTGCCAGTTGCCAAGAGGAACCCAGGCAGTATCGGGGTATCAACAACGTTTCCTTTAGACATCTACCCCATTAGGACTGCAATGACACCATTCCCCTCCCTAACCCACCCAACACATACGCATCTTCCCAGAGAAAAATCCTTCCATTTTCAAAATTCAGGGAGTACTATAAATCCCACCTATCCCTTTAAAACCTCGATCCCCAAATACATTTCCATCCCACAGAACATACCATCTATCACCTGCAAATACTGTCAAGGGTGCTCCTATGTAGAAAGTATTCCTCCTCCTTCACCACTGTGGGAAGTGGACACC